ATCAGTAAATCAAAACATATTTCTCCAATACTATTGGGTATAATTTTTCTTCATAAACTTACTTTTCCCACGGTGATGCTACTCCAAGGAAAGTTACTAGCACTTTGGAAGCTATTTTAATCTATGTTGGGAGGGATGTGTGTGATCAGTTGTTAATAAGCATGAGAAGGAAGGCATCAGTTATATTCCCTGGGAATATAACAGCATCCATCCAGGCAACACCAGAACGTCATCCTCCTGGATCAACGTTCTGTACCACACAGAAGACCTTTCAAGGTGTATCTGTATTGGTTCCACAACTTGTCACAAAAATTAATTTCTACAAAAAAATCAACTGTTTTATTTATTTATTTGTGGATGTAATGCGGATTGTACCCAGGATGTTGTACATGTTAAGCACACACTCTACCACTGAGCTATACCACTCCCCCCCGAAAAAAGAATCAATTGTTAAAACACTTACAACCACAGGCTGAACTGGATTGACACATGCTTGATCATAACTTCTTTTCCTAAGTCTGTATGTAGACTTTACTTTCCGAAAGATATTTCCCACTGAAAATAAAATATTGTGCTTTGGAAAATGCATTTAAGAGGATAATTATATCTGAACACTTCCATGGCCAAATGGTGATGCACACTAATTTTTGAATTTTGAAAATAAGTCTCAGGTAATTTAATTGTGTGTACTTTCCAGTCACACCACATCTGGCAACTTGCAAAAGCAATTGTTTATGTCATGCCCAAGCTGACAGAAAAATCACCATAAGACACATGGGAAAAGACAAGAGCACATTTCTGAAAGGGTTGGCCCTGGAGAATGTCATTCTAAGTGAAGTAAGCCAAAAAGAGAAAAAAAAATACCATACGATATCACTTATATATGGAATCTAAAAAAATAACACAAATGTGCTTATTTACAAAACAGAAACTGACTGACAGACATAGAAAACAAACTTATGATTTCCATAGGGAAAGACGAGGTGGAGGGATACACTGGGAGTTCTGGATTTGCAGACAGTAACTACTATATATAAATGAAACAGATGAACAAGGTCCTAATGTGCAGCACAAGCAACTATATTCAATGTTTGTAACAGTCTTTAACTAAAAAATATGAAAATTTATATACATAACTATATACATCACTAGGCTTTACACCAGAAATTAACACAACTTTGCAAATTGATTACATTTCAATTAAAAAGAAAAACTAACGCTATATTTAGGTCCAAAGGTCCTCTATGCAACATTGCACAAATGACACCCATGTAGAAGAAATTACCAAAATTAATAACCAAATTATTTATGAATAACAGCAAATATACTGTCTAGCAGTGAGCATAAAGGAAATTGGGTAGAAAGAAATGAACTGGCATTGTTGTGAGTTACAGTCTAGAATCCTTTAACAGTGGCAGGAATTATGTAAATGTTTTGTTTCAAAATACTAGGTATCCAGGAAAAATAATTTGTCTCATGTTAATCTTAAAATAACTAATCTTTTGATTTTTCAGACCATAGAAGTATATACTCATCTTTTAAAAGCTGCATTAATTTCATATAAAACCAGTTACTTGTATGCCAGTATCCTGAATTATCCAGCTTTTATCAAACTTATCATTAAAAATATGAATTAAAGAAACAGTGGCCATCATTCATGATTCATTCCTGAAGTCTCCATCTTACTCCACTGACCTATCTACTCCTCGGTTAAAAGGGAGCTAAATATAGTACACACATTTGAGCTTGAAGCAAAATCATTCACCTTTTTTTTTTACAGTAACATAGGTTGCAGGAAGACACAAACTTTGGAATGAAATACGAATTTTGTCATCAACAATCAAGTGCTCTCTAATAAACATGATCCCTGAGCTTCACTTTTTGCATTAAAAAAATGGGGAGATTTATTCTAGTGAAAGATTGCCTGAAGCTGCAAACTACACTCTCTACAATTTTCCAGCCAATTCTCAGGCAGTGTTTGAGATACATTTCTGCTGTTTTCTTTCTTTCTCTTACTGGCATATCACCATGTAAGAGACATACTCATACACAACACACACACACACACACAACGCCACCCCCCCTGACACACAAGAGGCATTCCTCTTCCATTTCCCTTCACCTTGAGCTGAAGACGCTCCTTCATCCTTTTTCTCATCACCAGGTCGAATGTCCTGACTTGAAGTTGGTGGCTCCCATTCTTGAGGTTGCTTATCACCATGGGCCTACACATATGTGTGTGCAAATAAAAAGTTTTGTTACCAGTACATGTCAATGACATAAATATACAGAATACAGAGATATATCTGACTTAAGCAAATCTAAAAATATTTCTCCAATACTACTTGGTATATTTATTTTTAATAAACTGACTATTCCAACAGAGATGCTACTCTAAGAAAAGTTACAAGGATTTTGGAAGTTATTTTACTCAGTGTTGGGAGGGATGTGTGAATTCGTTGTTTATAAGTATGGGAAGGAAGTCATCATTTATACTGCCAGGGGATATAACAGCATCCAACAAGACAACACCAGAATGTCATCCTCCTGGATCAACGTTCTGTATCACACAGAAGACCTTTGAAAGTGCGTCTGTACTAGTTGAACATCTTCTTACAAAAAATAATTTCTACTAACAAAAAAGCATCAAATGTTCATTCATTTATTGATGGAAGTACTAGGGACTGAACCCAGGACATTGTACTTATTAATCACCCACTCTACCACTGAGCTATATCCCTCCCCCACCAAAAAAATCAACTGTTAAAACACTTACAACCACAGGCTCAACAGGATTGTCACATTGTTCATCATGACCTCGTTTCTTAGGTTTGTATGTTGACTTTCTGCTCCAACTCATATTTCCCACTGAAAATAAAATATCGTGATTTGGAAAATGCATTTAGTAGAATAAATATAATTGAACACTTCCATGCCCAAATGGTGATGCACACTGATTTTTGAATATTGAAAATACTTTGAAAATAAGTCTGAAAGTAATTTTATTCAGTGTGCTTTCCAATCACACAAAATGTGGAAACTTGCAAAAGCAATTGTTTATGTCATGCCCAAGCTGACAGGAAAATCAACATAAGGCACCTGGGAAGAGAAGAGCACATTTCTGAAAGAGTTCGCTTTCAGAAGTTGATTTATCATCATAGAGATATTTATGAACAAATCACTAGAGAAAACGGCTATTATCAAAAAGTCAATAGTCAACAGGTGTTGGGGAAGATGTGGAAAAAAGGAAACCCTTGCCCACTGTGGCTGGGAATGTTAATTGCTGCAGCCACTGTGGAAACCGTAGAGATGTCTCAAAAAACTGCAAATAGAACTACCACAATGACTTAGCAATTCGAGTCCTGAATATCTATTCAAAAAATAAAAATAAAAACACTATTTCAAAAAGATACACGCACCCCAATGTTCATACCAATACTATTTACAACTGCCGAGATATGGAAGCAAGCTAAATGCTCATCAACAGACAAAGGGATAAAGAAGATGTTGGTGTATACACACACACACACACACACACACACACACACACACACACACACTGGAATACTACTCAGACGTGAAGAAGAATGAAACTTTGCCATTTGCAATAACATGGATGGGATTGCACATGTTACGCTAAGTGAAATAAGTTAAACAACGAAAGGTAAATGCTGTATGACATTGCTTCTATGTGGAATCTAGAAAACAGAACTAGTCAATATATATAAAAAAAAAAGCAGATTCACCGAAATAGAGAAAAACTAGTGGTGGCTAGTGGGGAGAAGGAATGGAAAAGGGGCAATGTACAGGGGGAAGAGTAAGAGCTACAAATTATTAGGTATAAAATAAGCTACAAGGACATATTGTACAACACGAGGAGTAGAGCCAATACTCTATAATAACTTTAAATAGACTATAACCTTTAAAAATATGATTCACTGTATTTCACATCTATAACTTAGCTAATACTGTGCATCCCCTATGCTTATATTAAAAGAAAAAGAAATTACCACTAGAGAATTAATACTTGAGTAACTACCATTTTTGGCACACTCTCATTTATTAAGGTCTTTCTCGGTACCCCCTCAATCACATTTTATTGGAACACAAAGCCACACTTGTTCGTTTACAAACTGTATCCGGCTATTTTTGCACTAAAACGGCAGGGTTGACTGGTGGCAATAAAAACTCTGTGTAGCACTCTCTTACCTGGCACAATGCTCAGTGCACTACAAATCTCAGATCACAGTCAAAACCACACATCGATCCATTTCTAGGCTTTTCCTTTACCGTCACCTTGTCCCTTATCCCTACCCGGGGCCCCACTGGCGACTTCGGATTCTCTGCACTGTCGGCAGTTTCAGTGTCTCCGGGACACAGATTCCGCAAATAATGCCCTCAAGGCTCAACCCATCTTCACCCGACTCCCTGCCGTCCGCCTCCCACTGTCCCCCTGTTCCTACTGCCACCTCGACAGCCATGGAGGCAGGGACACCTGTGAGGAGGACGACGACATCGAGGACCCTTCTCCTCCAAGGCCACAGATCGCACCGCCAGAAGCCCACTAACTCCCGCTCATACGCACGCACACTTAAACTCCCGGCAGGACGGACCTGTGACCTAACAGGTGATCGTAGCCGAGTAGAAACAGCCTCCATTCGGACAGCCCGGCACCCAGAACGCGTTGCACATGCTACACCCCGAGGACCGACGGAAAGGCACACAGCCCTGAGCATTCGCCCTTTGTCTCTCCTCTGCTACGTGGGCCGGTTTCCCCGCCCTCCACGGGACCCCACCGAGATTCCCAGATCTCTGCTCTGTGGACAGTTCCTGGTGCCTCCAGGGCTCAGATAACTCAAATAACGCCCCCAAGGGTCACCCCATCTTCACCTGACCATCTCCCCTCAACCACCGAACATTCTCCCATGTACCAGGCCCGCCACCACGACAGCAATGGCTGTCGCCACACCTGTGAGGACAACGACCTCGAGGATCCACTTCTTCATAGTCTGCAGATTACACCACCTCCTGCCACCGCCCCCATCCGCACAAAGCCCGCTAGATCCCCCTTACGCAAATGCACACTTAAAGTCCCAGCAGGATAGATCTGTGGACCTACCAGCTGATCGCAGCCGAGTAGAAACAGGCCAGACAGTGAGACGTGTTGCGAAAACTTCGGCACCCAGAACAAGCTGCACACGCTACACGACGAGGGACGATGGGAGGCGAGCAGTAACGAGCATGCGCACTGTCTCTCTCCTGTGCTGCGTGGGCCGGTTTCCCCGCCCTCCACGGGACCCCACCAGGATTCCCGGATCTCTGCCTGTGGACAGTTCCTGGTGCCTCCAGGGCTCAGATAACACAAATAACACCCCCAAGAGTCATCCCATTTTCATCTGACCCCAACCCCTCAATGGCCCACCATCTTTCCTTATCCCAGCCCTGCCACCAGGACAAAATGGCTGTCGCCACACCTGTGAGGACAACGACTTCAAGGACCCTCCTT